TAGAAGATTAGTATTATATGTAAACCCAAATTCTTTTAGAAAATTAGTCGATGTGGAATTGAGTTGCACCATAAACTACTCATCTTATTAAGTTTACTTTAACAAAAGCCATAAGCATGATCAAGTCAAAGCAGCTGATTAAGTCCTCCACTTATAAGCACGTAGTCCTTCCTTTTTTTTGTGGGATTCTCACGTGGGGCAAGATTTATTTTGGTCCTTACTCTCTTCTCATCTATCAATTATTCACCCAAAAACACTAGAGCAGATCAATTAGAGGGAAGAAGAAAGTGTGAAAAAATTTTCCTCAAAAGTGTATAAAATCATGGGTTTTCGTGGCCATTGTTCCGATGCCTATGGAGAAGAGAGTACCTCTGCAAATTTTGTTGAAGAATAAAATGAGGCCTTGAAGTGGTTGCCAGCGTGAGAGATTGGTGCTATTGTCGAAGAGAGAGAAAGTAGTACTAGTGTTGATCTGTGAGCTTCATTGATTTTATGGTATTTTTGTGGGGGATTTTCTTTACCAAATTAATTGATTTGATTGAATATACAATGGCCTTTTTCTCTACGCAACCTATTATTTTTGAGTTTTTTCTGCAATAATTCTCACTAATTCCTTTTATTAAAATCGGGCAGACTCAACGGACCCGAAAAATCGGTACCTTAATCAAGTCAATTTCTAAAATGGATCGTTTGAAAAGTTCACCCATTAGAGATCCGTTCACACGATGCAAAGACAGACAATTTTTATTCGCTAATGCAAAGTTATAGAACTTAATATGAGGACTTAATTCAGTGCATTCGTTAAATCACTTGTAAGTTCCAATGTTTGGTGGAGCTCATTGTTAATCCAAAAGTTAGATTGAATTGGATCATCAAATTATGTCAAAATAGTATTTTCCATATGTTCCTTTTGTCCGAATGGTATTTTGCTTAATAATAAAAAAATGTTATTTGAACCTAATGTAGAAACCTATTATTAGTACTTAACTCAATATAACCATTGACTTAAGACAATCTTTATATATAATACAGTATAAATCAGCTACCTTATGAATATCTAAACTATCCATTTGTACATATAAAACTCTTTTTTTGACTTTAATAATAAAATATTAAAGTCTCATTTGAGTTGTTCCATGCTAGACTTCAAAGTTGTTGTAAAAATGAATCTAGAAGACAAAATGAATGGCAAAGTGAAGCGCAGATTAGACCACTCTCTTAATACAATTTGTNAGTGAATGGCAATGTGAAGCGCAGATTAGGAATGCAGAATGTAGTAGTGTGTCATCCCCATGATATAACAATCCGGCCTAGTTGAATATTGTTTTATTCATATTTATACAATCAAATGAAATAGAAGTTCCACACGACATCTTTTTATATTGCCCAGGAAACTAATGCAGTAAAAAAAAATATAGAAGATTAGTATTATATGTAAACCCAAATTCTTTTAGAAAATTAGTCCACGTGGAATTGAGTCGCACCATAAAGTGCTCATCTTATTAAANATAGAATATTTGTATTATATGTAAACCCAAATTCTCTTAGAAAATTATTCGAAGTGTAATTGAGTTGCACCATAAATTGCTCATCTTATTAAATTTACTTTAACAAAACCCATAAGCATGATCCAGTCAAAGCAGTTGATTAAGTCCTCCACTTATAGGCACGTAGTCCTTCCCTTTTCTTGTGGGATTCTCATGTGGGACGAGACTCTATTTTGATCCTTAGTCTATTCTCATCTATCAATTATTCACCCAAAAAAACTAGAGCAGATCAATTAGAGGGAAGAAGAAAGTGTGTGAAAATTTTCCTCATCAGTGTATAAAATCATGGGGTTTTCGTGGACATTGTTCTGGTGCCCATGACGAAGAGACTACATCTACAAATTTTGTTGAAGAATAAAATGAGGTCTTGAAATGGCTGCCAGGGAGAGAGATTGGTGCCTCTGTCGAAGAGAGAGAAAGTAGTACTAGTGTTGATCGGTGAGTTTCATTGATTTTATGGTATTTTGTGGGGGATTTTACTTACCAAATTGATTGATTTGATTGAATATAGAGACGCCTTTTTCTTTATGCAATCTACTATTTTGAGTTTTTTATGCAAGAATCCTTACTAATTCACTTTTATTAAAATCAGTCCGACTCAACGGACCCGGCCAATCGGTACCTTAATCAAGTCAATTTCTAAAATGGATCGTTTGAATAGTTCACCCATCAGAGATCCGTTCACACCATGCAAAGACAGACAATTTTTATTTTCTAATGCAAAGTTATATAACTTAATATGAGGACTTAATTCAGTGCATTCATTAAATCACTTGCAAGTTCCAATGTTTAGTGGAGCTCGTTGTTAATCCAATAGTTAGATTGAATTGGATCATCAAATTAGGACCAAATAGTATTTTCTTTGTGTTCCTTATGTCCAAATGGTATTTTTCTTAGTAATATAAAACATGTTAATTGAACCTAATTTAGAAATCTATTATTAGTACTTAACTCATTCTAACCATTGACTTAAGAAAATCTTTAAATAAAATTCAGTACAAATCTGCCGCCTTATGAATATCCAAACATTCCTTTTGTACATATAAAACTCTTTCTTTGACTTTAATAATAAAATATTAAAGTCTCATTTGATCTATTCCATTCTAGACTTCAAAGCTGTTGTAAAAATGAATCTGGAAGACAAAATCCCCATGATATAACAATCCAGCCTAGTTGAATATTGTTTTATTCATATTTATACAATCAAATGAAATAGAAGTTCCACACGACATTTTTATATTGCCCAGGAAACTAATGCAGTAAAAAAAAATATAGAAGATTAGTATTATATGTAAACCCAAATTCTTTTAGAAAATTAGTCCACGTGGAATTGAGTCGCACCATAAAGTGCTCATCTTATTAAATTTACTTTAACAAAAGCCATAAGCATGATTTAGTCAAAGCAATTGATGAAGTCCTCCACTTATAGGCACGTAGTCCTTCCCTTTTCTTGTGGGATTTGCACGTGAGACGAGACTTTATTTTGATCCCTACTCTCTTCTCATCTACCAATTATTCATCCAAAAAAATTGGAGCAGATCAATTAGAGGGAAGAAGAAACTATGTGAAATTTTTTCTCGTCATTGTATAAAATAATGGGGTTTTTGTGGCCATTGTTACGGTGCCCATGGCGAAGAGACTACGTCTGCAAATTTTGTTGAAGAAGAAAATGAGGCCTTGAAGTGGCTGCCGACGAGAGAGACTAGTTCCGCTGTCAAAGAGAGAGAGAGAGAGAGTGGTACTAGTGTTGATCAGTGAGCTTCATTGATTTTATGGTATTTTGTTGGGGATTTTGCTTACCAATTTGATTGATTTGATTGAATATAGAAAGGCAATTTTATCTATGCAACCTGTTATTTTTGAGTTTTTGTGCAATAATCCTCACCAATTCCCTGTAATTAAAATTAGGCCGACTCAACGGATCCGGCCAATTGGTACCTTAATCAGGTCAATTTCTAAAATGGATCGTTTGAAAAGTTCACCACCAATGATCCGTTCACAACAGGTAAAGATAGACAATTTTTATTTGCTNTGTTGAAGAAGAAAATGAGGCCTTGAAGTGGCTGCCAACGAGAGAGACTAGTTCCGCTGTCAAAGAGAGAGAGAGAGAGAGTGGTACTAGTGTTGATCAGTGAGCTTCATTGATTTTATGGTATTTTGTTGGGGATTTTGCTTACCAATTTGATTGATTTGATTGAATATAGAAAGGCAATTTTATCTATGCAACCTGTTATTTTTGAGTTTTTGTGCAATAATCCTCACCAATTCCCTGTAATTAAAATTAGGCCGACTCAACGGATCCGGCCAATTGGTACCTTAATCAGGTCAATTTCTAAAATGAATCGTTTAAAAAGTTCACCACCAATGATCCGTTCACAGCAGGTAAAGATAGACAATTTTTATTTGCTAATGTAAAGTTATAGAACTTAATTTGAGGACTTAATTCAGTGCATTCATTAAATCACTTGTAAGTTCCAATGTTTAGTGGAGCTCATTGTTAATCCAATAGTTAGATTGAATTGGATCATCCAATTAGGTCAAAATAGTATTTTTCTTATGTTCCTTATGTCCAAATGGTATTTTTCTTAATAATAAAAAATATTGTTATTTGAACCTAATTTAGAAACCTATTATTAGTGCTTAACTCAATCTAACCATTGACTTATGACAATCTTTATATAAAATGCAGTACAAATCTGCCGCCTTATGAATATTCAAACTATCCTTTTGTTCATATAAAACCCTTGTTTTGACTTTAATAAGAAAATATTAAAGTCTCATTTGAGTTGTTCCATGCTAGACTTCAAAGTTGTTGTAAAAATGAATCTAGAAGACAAAATGAATGGCAAAGTGAAGCGCAGATTAGACCACTCTCTTAATACAATTTGTGCCCCTTTATGAAAGAAACACAATGCAGAATGTAGCAATGTGTCATCCCCATAATATAACAGCCCAGCCTAGGTGACTATTANGCCGTTCTATGTTAGACTTCAAAGTTGTTGTAGAAATGAATCCGGAATATAAAGTGAATGGCAAATTGAAGTGCAGATTAAGCCACTCTCTTAAGACAATTCATTCCCCTTTATTTTTTCTTTCGAGTAGATAAAGAAGAAATGACAACATCCTCAATGAACAAATATTGGAAGAACCTCAAAATACAAAGAAACAACTGTCGTTGTCAAAGTGGGTATTCCTTTGTGTTGCAACTAACCAGATTTGAATATACCATTTGAGTTGTTTTCAGTATATGTTTATGTATGGAGTGTACTGGGTCAATTGTCTTAATTAAAAGATAAGTTACAATGTTTTATCAACTCAAGAGAGAGAGAAAAGTATCCATTTTAAGACCTCATCAGTGATTTTGCAGCCTGTATATAATTATGAACAAACGTATACTGATTACAATTCCAAAACTCTGACTCGCTTTAGCTACTTTCTCCCTCTCCCTCTCCTATGGCTCTTGCTCTTGAGAGTTTGGTGCTGATTTTCCCGCTCCTTCTGTCCCTCGACTTGTTTGTTCCCAAGTCCATCTCAGCAATATCCATTGTTGGAAATGAAACTGATAAGCTAGCATTGCTTCAGTTTAAGTCCAAAATAAGTGATGACCCAAATGGAGTGTTGGCGTCTTGGAACGAGTCCTCACCATTCTGCCAGTGGGTGGGAGTCACATGTGGTCTCAAACATCAAAGAGTCATCAGCTTGAACCTATATAATCAAGAATTGGTTGGAACAATATCGCCCCACATCGGAAATCTTTCTTTCCTCCGATCCTTCAACTTGGGAAACAACTCCTTTTGTAGTGAAATCCCACCAGAAATTGGTCGCTTGCTCAGGCTGCACAACTTAAACCTAGGCAATAATCTTCTACAGGGTGAAATTCCTGTCAATCTGTCGGGTTGTTCCAATCTAATAAATGTCACACTGGATCACAACCATCTCATAGGTGGAGTTCCTTTTGAGCTTGGGTCTTTATCAGAGCTTGCAGTGCTGTGTCTCGAAAACAACAATCTTTCGGGAACCATACCAGCTTCAATTGGAAATCTATCCTCTCTCCAAATATTTTGGGCACACTACAACAATTTTGGGGGAGAAATTTCTGATAAGTTTTCCCAATTAAGGAGTTTGACAGAGTTTGCAATTGCAGCGAACAATTACAGTGGTGTGCTTCCTCCTGTTCTTTACAATCTTTCATCACTCAGAATTGTTAGTCTGGGTGTAAATAATTTCCACGGTATTGTCAGGCCTGACATTGGCCTTGTGCTTCCAAATCTCCAGAAGCTTTCTTTGCCACTGAGTCAAGTTAGTGGACCCATTCCACCTTCATTGTCAAATGCTTCAGAACTTTATTTTTTTGATATCGGTGAAAGCCGATTCACTGGGAACGTACCAACAGGTTTTGGAAATCTACAGAACTTACAATGGCTCAACTTTTATGGTAATTTTCTTCATGATGACTTGGAATTTGTCACGTCACTGGCAAATTGCAGCAAACTCCAACTTTTGGATATGAGTTTCAACCAATTCCAAGGTATATTGCCCAACTCTATAAACAATTTGTCATCACAACTAACATGGCTAACTTTTGGGGGCAACAATATTAGTGGAAGCTTTCCCTCAGAGATATCAAACCTCTTCAACTTGAATGTCCTCGACATGGATAGTAACTTGTTAAATGGTAGTGTTCCATCTTCAATTGGAAAGCTTTCAAACCTGCATAGCCTATATCTGGATCACAACCAATTCATAGGTGAGATACCCTCTTCCCTTGGCAATATCACTGGATTTTTGCATCTAAATTTGGGTTTAAACAACTTTGAAGGAAGCATACCGTCTAGCTTGGGGAACTTAAAGTACCTCCTAGTCCTCGGGCTTCATGGAAATAAACTTAATGGCACCATCCCCCAACAACTCATGAGTCTCTCAGCCTCTTTTAACATAGACGTGTCTTTCAATTCCTTGACTGGTTCCTTGCCTACAGAACTTGGTGAACTCAAAAATATTCTTTTCCTTGTAGTTTCAAACAACAAACTCTTTGGTGAGATTCCTAGCACAATAGGAAATTTGATTTCCTTGGAACATCTTGAGATGCAGGAAAACTTATTCCAAGGATCTATTCCTCCATTGAATCAATTAATGGGTCTTCAATATCTAGATCTTTCACACAATAACTTATCAGGCGGAGTTCCACAATATTTTGAGACTCTTTCCACCTTAATATATCTGAATTTGTCGTTTAACAATCTTTCTGGTGAAGTACCTAGTAAAGGAATTTTCAAAAATGCAACTGCAGTTGGAGTACTTGGCAACACTAAGCTTTGTGGAGGGGCCCCAGAGCTACACTTACAAGCATGCCCCCTTCAAAAACACAAAAAACGTACTAATCCAATGTTGACTTTAGAAATTGCCCTTCCTTCTTCATTTCTTGCTCTGGCATTGATTTTTCTTTCACTATACCTGACAAGAAAAACGAAGAAAAAATCTCTTTCCTCACCTTCTTTTGGACGATTTCATCCAAAAATATCCTACCAGGAACTCCTCAATGCCACTGGTGGGTTTTCATCAAGCAATTTGATTGGCTCAGGTAGTTTTGGAATGGTATATAGTGGAACTTTAAGTCCAGAGGGAACGACTGTTGCAGTTAAGGTACTCAAACTCAGCCAACCTGGAGCTTCCAAGAGTTTCATGGCTGAATGTAGAGCGCTGAGCAACATTCAACATCGCAATCTTGTCAGGATCCTAACTGCTTGCTCCAGCATTGATTTTGAGTGCAATGATTTCAAAGCTCTGGTTTACGAGTTCATGCCAAACGGGAGCTTGGAAAGATGGCTGCATCCAGAAGATGGTCACATACAATTGAGAAACTTGGATCTTCTCCAAAGAATAAACATTGCGATAGATGTGGCTTCCGCATTGCATTATCTTCATAAACAATGTGAAACACCAGTCATTCATTGTGATGTAAAGCCAAGCAATGTCCTACTTGACAATGACTTTACTGCTCACCTAAGTGATTTTGGTTTGGCGAGGCTCCTTTCAAAATCGGGCATAGATGCTGTTTCAAGTCAATTTACCTCCGCCAGTGTCAAGGGAACCACTGGATACGCAGCTCCAGGTACGGTTTCATATTTTTGTTTCTGAATGAAGAGGTCCATTCTGTTAGAAAAACTGCAGCAATAAGCATCAAATCACTAAAATGATAGAATTATTGGAACAACTAATTTTGCAGGTTCTATGCTATAATACAAAAAGTACTGCCCTAACTTCGTAATTAGCAATATTAAAATGGTCCATTATTTAATGTACCATATAAATTTTTGTTTTTCTTCTTGACAATGATTGAAGATGTAGAAAAGATTAGAAAACCAATATTGGTCCAATTGTAGTAGATTAAGTCGATGCTTCAATAGTTTAAAGTTATGCTTATACCAAGTCAACACCAAGTTTCTTGTTTATGCTGCAATTGCAATTGCGTTGCATTTCTGTATTCTCATGATCCTTTTTTGATGCATTCAAATTTGAAAATAGCAATAAGTTCTACTTCCAAAAAACCGTTGAGTCCTGTTTGTTTTTTTTAAGGCAATTAACTCCAACATTTCATAATTTGTTCTAATATACTACATGGAAATTTATATTATTGGTTTAGTTTTGAAAGACTCGTTGAAAGAAAACTTCTAGTGTCTCTCTTGTATTTGCTTCACATTAGCACTAATAGTGATTCATCAACTTGGCAGAGTACGGGATGGGTGCTCCGATGTCAACTCATGGAGATGTATATAGTTATGGGATTCTGTTGTTGGAGATATTCACAGGAAAAAGACCAACTGACAATTCATTCAGTGATGATTTAAATCTTCGTAATTTTGTTAAGATGGCATTGCCGGAGTTGGCAACAGAGATGATGGACCAATTTTTACTAACCGAAGGGATGCAAGAAGCTCAAAGTAGCATTGGAAGTTCCAGTAACCATAGAAATGAATGCATTGAATGCTTGATATCTACACTAGAAATTGGAATTGCATGTTCAGCAGAATCCCCAAGCGACAGAATTGACATCAAAGACGTTGACAATCGTCTACTTTCAATTAGAGACAAATTCATTGGATCAAGAAGGCATGATTAATAGCTCTAAACAGGTGAAATCTCTCGACCTCGTGAAGTGGGGTGTACTTGCATAAATTACTAATGAAGAGAGACATACCTGATCATCAACTCTTTACACACCAAGAAGCAATATGTGTAGTTACCTTGTACTGGCCCAGCTAGAATGCCTATCTACACACACACACACTTAGTGACTTAGAAGCACACGCCAGGGTATGAATTCCCTCACCTGTCTATCAATAAACAAAATAATTAGATAGACTGTGTTGCACAAGCAGTCCATGAATGTTAATGCTTCAAAATGCCAAGATATGTCTATCATTGCACCAGGTTCAATAAAACCTGATTTTTTACGGGTCATGTTTTTCCTTTTTCTTATTTTTAATTTTAATTAAGATACTTGGAGGTCTACTACCCTAGAACCCAATCTACCGGTAAAACTACCTTCAGTGTCCTTGGTTTTGAAAATGGAATGTTGAAATTCGAACATAATAATGCTGCATAGAAAATCAAATTATCTATTTAGATTGAACCAGCATAGAGACCAGGTAGATAGTTCATTGGTGCAACTGTTGAGTTAATTGGTGAGACCAATCATATAATTAAAAAATATAAAAAAAATTATAAAACATAAATTATAAATACAAATCACAATCACATTGTTCAAACATAAATTATAAGTTGTGAACCGGCCAGTTTGAGAAATCGTCGGGTTCACTGGTTTTGGCCAAAACTGGCCGGTTTGGCGGTTTTTCATCGGTTCGATTGCACAGGCGNATAAAAAAAATTATAAAACATAAATTATAAATACAAATCACAATCACATTGTTCAAACATAAATTATAAGTTGTGAACTGGCCAGTTTGAGAAATCGTCGGGTTCACTCGTTTTGGCCAAAACTGGCCGGTTTGGCGGTTTTTCATCGGTTCGATTGCACAGGCGGTCTTTTTAATCAATCCGACCGATTTAGGTCCTGATTTACTGGTCCGACCGACGGTCCGATCCGATTCTGAGTTCTCTTGTCGGAGATGTTCAGCAATTTAGCTAAGATGGCATTGCCGAATCAAGTAACGTACGTGCTGGACCCATTTTTACTTACTGAAGGAACATAGGAGGCTCAAAACAGCATTGGAAGTTCCAGGAACCATAGAGATGAATGAATTGAATGTTTAGAATCTGTCCTATAGATTGGAGTAGCGTGTTCAGTGGAACGTGGAATTCCTATGTGACAGAATGGAAATCAAAGACGTTGAGCTCCATCCAATTTAAATCACAGATAAATACATTAGACACTTGAACAGTTGCTTGAGATGCGGATACACGAACGGGAGATGGAGAGAAAAACGCGAAGTTTATATTTGGGAGTGGACTTTTTTTAACAGAAGGGCGTCATTTTGACTATTTAACGGTCAAAGGGATGCTGTTTCATTTGAAATAATTATAAAAAANCGGAACGACGTCATTTTGACTATTTAACGGTCAAAGGGACGCTGTTTCATTTGAAATAATTATAAAAAATAATAATAAAATAAATTGCGTGAATTCTATCGTTTTGAATCGTACAATTCTTGCGATTGCTTTGATTCAAATTTAATCATACGATTCAAGTGTGATTTTCGACCAAAAATGATTCTATAGTAAGATTATTGTTATTAAAATCATACGATTTGTAATTTGACTCATGCAATTTAATTCGATTTAGTTCTCATTCGATTCGTATCTTATTATAAAATCGTTTTTAGCTAAGAATCGCACCAAAATCACACAAGTCGATTCAAATCGAAAGAATCACACAATTCATTTTATTATTATTTTTAACTCTATTTAAAGTAAAACGACATCGTTTTGATCGGTAGATAATCAAAAAGACGTCGTTTTGCTAGAAGAAGCCCACTCCTAAATATAAAACTCATGTTTATCTTTGTATCTCCTATTCACGTTTTTGTCTTTCAAGCGTATGTGAACATCACACAGAGGCGAAGTCTCCTTCACTCAAAGTATGATGCTGCTTCTTATTCAAAACCTGCTATCAAACCCTAACGAACTTTACTTCTTCTTCAATAAATGCTCTATTTTTTTGTTTTCATTAAAATTTTATTTTTCAATCGAATGTGGGAAGGGATTTTCTAACTTTACATATTCGAATTAGTATAAGCTTTTCTTATTTTGGTTTAATTTTATTGGTAGGAAGACAATAGCAATTTGTTAGTTTAAAAATCATACATCTTTCATTATGACCATTTTGAGAGGACGATTTATTATACATTAAGAAAGAAGTAACAAAAGCACAACTCAAGTGTACCTTTATAAAGATTTATAAAAGCTTGTATTTTTCTATTTAGACGATGTGATCAAGTCAATACCATCAATTAATTATTTTTAAAATACAATAACGTTTAATATTCAATATCATGCATATTTTAAATGTGTACATATTATTATTTATCATTGTTCAAATTTTGTGTCAAATCTTGTTATTCCCGATTCGATACTATTCCTAATTTTCAAATTTAGGATCCTGATTCTCAAATTTAGGATTTCGATTTCTAATACGAATCTAAATTTGATAACTATGAGTAAGATATGAATCCAATGAAGATTAAATCGAATTGAATCGCGAATCATACGATTTTAATAATAATGCTCCATAACCATCTGCAGTCCTGCTTGATTCCTTATTCAACCCAGTTGCCAAAGTGGTCCTCTTTTACTTGAAGGTCTAATCCCTAAGAAAATAATCTACCTATAAACCTACCTCAAATTTCCCTGGTATTGAGTTTGGAATATATGATTCAAAGGCTATCTTTGAATAGCAGAATGAAGAGTCTTCCTCAACCTTCTCTGTTGATTACTTTGCCACACAAGAATTTTTAAGCTACCCAACTCATTTCTTATTTTCAAAATGGATCTCCATCCCTTTGTCCATCCTAAGTCCTCCAGTGATATTCATTTTGATAGGAGAATAGTAGAAAGTATGCATTAGCAGTGTTGGATAATTTCATCAAACTTTTAGGTAGAGATATGGAATTTTCTTTCGTTCTTTTTTTTTTTTTTGTGGTAAGTAGTGATGGAATTTTCATGTATACACTCCAAAATGAGGATCAAACTGCTTACTGCTTACTGCTTTTTTAGACTCCACTACAAGTGGAGCTTTGTCTACTCGGTACAACTTCCTAATATTTTACACAATACATGAGTCAAAAGGGTATAAGAGTGGTGATTTTTGGCCCTTTTTAACCTCAGAAAAATATATCCTCACCAAATCTATATGCTGGATAAAGACTGTAAAAGAATAAACAGTAAGCCCATACTCTGGTAAAGACATTTCTAATTAGAAATTCTTTTTGCAAACTGAACAAAGTAAAATATATATATATATAAACTGGATGATTTCATTCTATACAAAGCATCAAAAATCCAAACTTGCCCTCCAAATTTCCATTAAAACTTAACTGAAGATTTAACATGACATTTTTTATTAGATTAATGTTACATAGTTTTAAAAATTATACTTGAATAAGTAGTGAGTCCCAATACACGTTAGGATCCACAATTAAATCAATGACTATAATTATCAAGTCCAGTTTTTAAATCTAATTTTTAAGTTCACGTAGCATTACTCTTTTTATTATTATCTGATACGCAAGTGAAAATTAAAAAAAAAAAGTGCATAGAACCTTTCAGCAGTGAATCGCCTGTCATCTTTCTCTAACCGACATCAGAAACTCAAACTTTAATATATATAATTTTCATTTTTCAGATCAAAACATTCTAAATCGCAAGATGTGAATCGGGAAATCAAGCATGGTATATAAGATTTTAATGTATATGTTTAGGGAGTGGAGCAAAGAAAGGAAAACATCTCACTGAAATGAATTATACTTTCCAAAAAGAATTATGATTATTATTTAAATCTTATTGTTAAAACCTAAACTGCATTCATCAATAATATATTTTGATGGCGTTAACGCACTTTTACAAAAGATGAGCTGGGACTACGCTAGGTTGCTAAGATGATGTCATAATATCCAGGGCTTTGGAAGTTAAGACAATAGAATTATAGTGGTTTACCAGCTTAGAAGCTCGGCTAGTCCACTCTGAAATGGAGACTCTTGCTCCTTTTGTTTTATCCACGGTGATTACAAAGTTGTTATGACTTCTTTTTGCCACTAGGGTTCCCCTTCCTGTTAGGGGGTGTTACCTTGTATTTATAAGATCATTCCCTGCTAAGAAGGATCTTAGCCGAGATTCTTGCCCTTATTTGGTGGGCTTCTCCTTAATTCTAGGAGAAGATCTTAGTTAGTTGAGATTAGGTGCATTGATTACAGCTTCCTAACGCTTTAGGATCCTCTCGTGGTTATCTAGTTGTTATCTTGTCTTAAGAGACACTCGGCTCATACCCTCTGACCTCTGCTAATGTGCTTGACCTCCTGGTCCGAGCTGACCTCCTGAGCTTAGCACTTGAAATTTATTTTAGGTGTCATCAGTTGCCCCCTAGTCCTTGACTCAAGCGAGCTTGGGCATGGGCTGAGCTGCTTTCGCATTGGACTAGGCCTGTACCTCGCTGACCTTAGTCCACGTGTGAGATGCACGTGGGGGGCTCTTTGACAGTTTACAGCAATCATGACTTTCTCGATTTTCGTGCATTTTTCAACCCACGTCACTCAAGCTTTAATTGCTCAAATGGCTACCCAAAAATCGCTCAAAACTCCTTGTTCATTTTCTACGCTGTTCACCTTTGCCTCTGCCTCTTTTCCTCTACAATTCCTTGGTTTTCCTACATGCGATTCACTCATTCTCTGCTCAAGACTGCGTTTTTCGGGTACGCCTTGAAGTCTTGCTTTGCTTCTTCTCTCCAATTTCATCCTCGGTTGTTGTTTGCTGCTTTCTTCCCTATCTAGGTACGCCCTTTCTGCCCCCTTCTCTTTCTCTTACCTTTTCCCCGCTCTGGAGCCCTCAAATTCGAGGTGGCCGTTATTTTTCTGGGTTTTTCAGTTATTTTACTTTTGAAATCAAGAT